GGGGGGAGGGCGTAGGGGAGATAGAATTCGTGCTTGGACCGGCACCCTATCCAAGGGTAATAACAATAACTTTTAGTCGCTTAATACTCCAGAAACCGGAGTTCGCCAATGAAGTCAACGCTTTTTTTTCCAGGGGTTAATAATGGAGACAAATCAGGTAAAACTCCTCTTCACACCGCCATCCTCTCAAAACAGCTCAGAATTGTCGACAGACTTCTGGAGTGTGGCGCTGACGTCACCATAAAGGATGACGCGGGTGACACTGCACTCCACACTGCTATTCGTGTTGGAAGCGAGAAACTGGTGCTGGTAAGTGTCAGGAGTCATATCAGTTGGAAACTAAGGCCTGGTTCGCACTCACTACATGACGACGTAATCACTTGTGTAGGTAATGTGAACACCGACATCAACACATAGGGAAAAGATGAAATTTTTTCCCATCACCTAGTTATCTTCATGTCGTTATGTTGCTGTTATGTTAGGATGTTCACACTGTAAACCATAACGACATAACGGCCTTCTCATGCCGTTTTATTCATGTCTGTCGCTGGTGTGAACTAGGCTTAAAATGAATAATTATTTAAGACAAAAACATTCTTCCAGATGAAAATAGATTTGCTCGTTATCTTTGATTTTGAACTCAACTTAGAGTATACCAGTTAAACTAATTTTTACTTTAAATATTTGACATTGGATTGCGAAATATTTTAACGCTACAATTCTTGCCAAGTTTGACTCATGTTATTATTGATAGATTTCACCGTGAAAACATCTAGTTTCAATAACTGACAACTGACAGAGAAACGGGACTTTAGATACTTACCTGTGTTGTTACAACTTCCTATTCCAATATGGCAATAACGACTGGATGAAGAAAGTTCCAGTGACTGCCATAATTAAACAAAATCTCGGGTGAAGTACCAATTTCGCAATCTGAAAAACTTTCCTGAATTCAATTATTTCCAAACTGAACTAGGATGTCGTCTTATCATATTTATTTATTGTAGTGGCATCCCGAATTGTCATTTTCAAGAGAACGTTTCTGCCATCATTAAAACAACGTAAACAAAGCACTTTGTTTTTATCATTATATATTTTTCAGACCCTACTCCAGCATGGGCATTCAGACGCGAACGCGGTTGGTCGTAACTCGTACACGCCCCTACACCTTGCGGCTGAAATGGATAACGAGGAAATTTGTCAAATACTGGTAAGAATTTTCTTATGAGAATGCCATTTACCAATTTTTTGATTTATTTGTTTGAGTTCCGCATCATTTAGTGCGAACCTCAGCTTTTGCCTCGAAGGACGAAATATGCAACACGTCGATGGCTAACGCGGGACAAAGGATACTTCGAGTAGTCCCTCTTTCGCTTAGTCTGTGTTGCGTGACCCGAAGGAAAACTACGAGGAAAACATGACCGAGCGAAATCCTTGCGTGTTTCTCGCCCCCAGGATTTCGCGTACTAAGCGAAAGAGGGACTATCGGTAGTCTAGGAACAAAGAAAGAAAAATTCTGATGAGTCCCGTACGGATTCTAACCCGTGACCTCCCGCATACCGGTCAGGCGCTCTAACCGCTTAGCAAACTTGTTTCCAGGGCTTTTTCCTTTTCTCGACCCTTCCATAATTTAGGGGAAAAGCCCGGGAAACGAATTTAAGTACTGAGCTTTTAAAATTTCTTGGATTCGAATATATTTTTGTTTAAAAGATCCGACAGCACATAAAAAAGGATTATTCATTTTTCCTGAATTTTTTTTTTTTATCATTATTTAGATCGAAAATCGAGGAGATCTAAAAAGTGTAGACGATGATCACATGACACCGCTGGCTCACGCTATGGAGAGAGGCGCAAGGAAGTCAGCGGAATTCCTATTAAAACAAGGTATGCACTGAATGTTTTACTGTAAATTTATTCATGTTTCAGTTATAAAATGGAAGCTGATATCGTATTGGATAACTCGATAACCACACTGTTTTATTGCAGCCGAAAGGCAAGGAACAGTTGAGGACTTCCTATATGACGTGGATGTTGATGGCAGCAGTCTTCTTCACCTGGCTGTGAACAGTGGTGTACTTGGGGTGAGCATGCGCCCCCTGATNAGGTTAAGTAACTTGACCTTAGTAACTGTTTACCTTGGTAAAAGCTCAAATGTAAACACAGCATTAGACAGCACATCAAGAGAATGGTTTCGACACCTGTTTGTCTGACGACAACTGATTGCTTTGTAATGACAAATGCGATTTGATTCATTTTAAAACTCGTGATAAATTTACTTCACTGGAACAGAGTGGTTTTCACTTGAGTATCGAAAAGTAATTGGTTTTGCATTGCACGCTACATGATTAACTTAAAAATTCGCGCCACTTTTTCTTCCATTCAGCGACAAAACCAAACGAATTGGTAACGCACTCGCGCACGTTTTCGCGCGCTTGGAGTCAGCTACATGAAATTATTCCGAAATTTGATTGGTTCATTGACTTTTAAATTGCCTGTGTGCTTTATAATTCAAATCTAAAAGAAAAAAAAAAAAACAGAAAAGTGTCAAAAAAGGCAAAATGACCGAAAAGGAACAGGCAAGGTTAATTTTAGGAACGATTTACGCGAAGCTGCAATTTTCAAGATCCCCTTCCACGACTTGACCTCTTTCTTGGCAGTCAGTTAAGTTAACACTTGACCTAGACAAGAAACACTTAATGGCCTTATTGTCATGATCAAATGGTAACTAATCGTCGATTGTATTATTTCATGGGTTTCATAAGATCACTCAAAAGCATTACTTGGCCAAAAAAGGAAAAAAACAAAAAAAAACAAAAAACAAAAATGGATCATTGGAAGGACATGTCTTATGGCCGAGTTAAATTTCAATGTGATGTTTTTTGTTGATCATTCCCCAGAAACTTGACAGGCAAACAGCATTCCACATGGCGTGTGAACAGGGTGCTATGCTGATAGTTCAATATTTGGTCGGTAAAGACCCAGCGGTCTGTAGGATAACTCTTGTTGACTGCAAAGGCAAGACACCGCTCCATATGGCAGCTAGACGAAATCACGCACACGTGGTTAGCTTTCTCCTTGAAAAGGTCAGTCCAGTCTCGGTATTTTCAACTTTCCTCTTGGTGATGAAGTGTGACAAAACACTTTCTCTCGTGTTTGATGTACAGTTGAATCCCACTCTTTCGAACTCTCAGGGGAAACGAGAAATTGTTCGAAATAGCTGATATCAAATGATTGAAGGGCAAATCCAATCAGGAAAATGGTTTTGGGTTCGAAATAACGCTGGATTCGAAATAACCGAGTTCGAATCAGGGGGATTCAACTGTATTACTAAATCGATAAGTGTGCACTTTCATGCGAAAATTTCACTCTTTGCTTTACAATATCAGTCGAGTATAGAAGCGATCTCATTTCGGACATGCATTATGATTTATCTTTAGTTAATTTTTGTTGATAAAACGTTTAAAAATGGAGGGAAAGAACTATTTTAATTAGTAAGATTGTTAGACATTTCTATGTTTCCAAAACGAACATCATCAAGCTAGTTTTCCATTAGCTCTGCAGGTCCCGGGTATTCAAGCCTATGTACAATCATTGTCCTGGTTACCAAATTTCAACCTCTTCTCACCCTCCCATTCCCTTTGTCAATGTTGAACTCTCAGAAATATTGCACAAACAGTCCTTATCCCTAAAGAGTTCAAATTCAACTAGGGTGGGGAACTNACATGGCGTGTGAACAGGGTGCTATGCTGATAGTTCAATATTTGGTCGGTAAAGACCCAGCGGTCTGTAGGATAACTCTTGTTGACTGCAAAGGCAAGACACCGCTCCATATGGCAGCTAAACGAAATCACGTACATTTGGTTAGCTTTCTCCTTGAAAAGGTCAGTCCAGTCTCGGTATAATCAACTTTCTTCTTGGTGATGAAGTGTGATAAAACACTTTCTCTCGTGTTTGATTTACAGTTGAATCCCGCTCTTTCGAACTCTCAGGGGAAACGAGAAATTGTTCGAAATAGTTGATATCAAATGATTGAAGGGCAAATCCAATCAGGAAAATGCTTTTGGGTTCGAAATAACGGTGGATTCGAAATAACCGAGTTCGAATCAGGGGGATCCAACTGTATTACTAAATCGATAAGTGTGCACTTTCATGCGAAAATTTCACTCTTTGCTTTACAATATCAGTCGAGTATAGAAGCGATCTCATTTCGGACATGCATTATGATTTATCTTTAGTTAATTTTTGTTGATAAAACGTTTAAAAATGGAGGGAAAGAACTATTTTAATTAGTAAGATTGTTAGACATTTCTATGTTTCCAAAACGAACATCATCAAGCTAGTTTTCCATTAGCTCTGCAGGTCCCGGGTATTCAAGCCTATGTACAATCATTGTCCTGGTTACCAAATTTCAACCTCTTCTCACCCTCCCATTCCCTTTGTCAATGTTGAACTCTCAGAAATATTGCACAAACAGTCCTTATCCCTAAAGAGTTCAAATTCAACTAGGGTGGGGAACTTAGTACAACTTTTGTATCTGATACCTGTTCTTCGAGTCCAAATGCAAAGTATTTGTATGAGAGCCTTTGTTTTGGCAAGTGTTTCAAATACTTTAGTCTATGTTTATTTTGTCTTCTTGTTGCCAATTTCATGTCAAGATGACATTGTTCATGCATTTAAAGCCTCGTCCAAACGAAAAATGTTTGGCCATCAAACACAATCAAACACTGTTTGGCGACCAAACATTTCCCCGTTTGGACACAGTGTTTGATCGTGTTTGATTCGAACGACGTCAAACATTTGATCAAAGATTATAACACATTTTGCTAGTTTGGACGGTGATCAAACATGTTTGATACCGTCCGGCCACTTAGTACAACATCAAAATATTTGGTCACCAAGCAATGTTTGATCGTGTTTGGTCGCAAAACATTCCCCGTTTGGAAAGGGCTTTAGGTACGTAATACATGCAATCCAAGATATAAATGACANTGGATTCGAAATAACCGAGTTCGAATCAGGGGGATCCAACTGTATTACTAAATCGATAAGTGTGCACTTTCATGCGAAAATTTCACTCTTTGCTTTACAATATCAGTCGAGTATAGAAGCGATCTCATTTCGGACATGCATTATGATTTATCTTTAGTTAATTTTTGTTGATAAAACGTTTAAAAATGGAGGGAAAGAACTATTTTAATTAGTAAGATTGTTAGACATTTCTATGTTTCCAAAACGAACATCATCAAGCTAGTTTTCCATTAGCTCTGCAGGTCCCGGGTATTCAAGCCTATGTACAATCATTGTCCTGGTTACCAAATTTCAACCTCTTCTCACCCTCCCATTCCCTTTGTCAATGTTGAACTCTCAGAAATATTGCACAAACAGTCCTTATCCCTAAAGAGTTCAAATTCAACTAGGGTGGGGAACTCATTACAACTTTTGTATCTGATACCTGTTCTTCAAGTCCAAATGCAAAGTATTTGTATCAGAGCCTTTGTTTTGGCAAGTGTTTCAAATACTTCAGTTTATGTTTATTTTGTCTTCTTGTTTCCAATTTCATTACAAGATGACATTGTTCATGCATTTAAAGCCTCGTCCAAACGGAAAATGTTTGGCCATCAAACACAATCAAACACTGTTTGGCGACCAAACATTTCCCCGTTTGGACACCGTGTTTGATCGTGTTTGATTCGAACGACGTCAAACATTTGATCAAAGATTATAACACATTTTGCTAGTTTGGACGGTGATTAAACATGTTTGATACCGTTCGGCCACTTAGTACAACACCAAAATATTTGGTCACCAAGCAATTTTTGATCGTGTTTGGTCGCAAAACATTCCCCGTTTGGAAAGGGCTTTAGGTACGTAATACATGCAATCCAAGATATAAATGACATAATTAAGAATTTCAAGAAATCAAAGCTACGCTAATTCATTTCCACACAGGAGGCATTTGTGGACCCAAAATCTGACGAGAGACGAACTCCTTTATTCATGGCTGCCGAGAATGGCGCTGTTGATGTGTTGAAACTGCTAATGGAACGCGGTGCTGACGTCACAATCCGGGACATTGAACTCCGGTCTGTGTTACACGCAGCCGTGGGCCATCCCAGTGCAATGGAGGTACTTCTACAGGTAAACCCAAACAAGGCGAAGAGTTAACAAGGTGTAGCCTTAAATGTTTACGAAGAATATGAGATGTTAGAAAGGACAAAAATCAATGTGTTTAGTTTAGTTTAGTAAGACTCTCATTGTTCAAACGGTGGATAACGCTATCCAAGGAATAATTGCATAAAAACCTTTATCTAGTAGCCACCTCACTATAGTTGATGCAGAAGTTAGCGTTATCCATTCATTACGAGAACATAAATTTAAATTGAATTTATTGTACACTTCAAAGATGCCTCTCAATTCTAAAACATAAAGAATATTTCCATCAAAAAGGCAAATTTCCATACACTGGAATTCCAACTTAACTTGGAGGCTCGAGGGAATGAACGACAGAAATACATTACCCCCTATGGCGAACGACAGTTTTCTCCAATCAGCAAACAGACTGTCTGCGTATGTACAATATACCATTTGAAAGCCAGTGCTGAGCTTTTCTAAGAATTGATATCAGCAGCTATGACGGGGGTAGTCATTTTGAGAGAAATTGCTTTAAAATGTGAAACTGAGCAACTTGCAACACGCATCAACTCTCAATTATCATAGGCATAACCGTAAACTATAGCTTATTTAGCAGGTCTTGGAAACTTGTTGGGGTGGTCAGCCATGCCCTAGATAGGAGAGGGTCAATGTGTTTTTTTAATGACTAGATTTTTACAAGACAATTTTTGTGGCAAAAAGTCATAAACATCCCTCAAATATTCACAAATTCATGAAGATGTGTGCCAATTTGTAATCTCAGGGAATATAGGGCCGTAACTAATAAGAGCATGACGGATTTCTTTTGCGTGAGATTACAGCACTCTTTTACAGGAGAGACTGAACGCCTCTTCACCGAGTTCTGTTTTCAATGATTTAAATTGTAGAGTCCAGCAGTTATGTCTCTCATTACTGAGAAAGATGTAAGAGGTTTCTCCGCTGTCCACTATGCAGCAAAGAAAGGAGACATCAAGGTACGGAGAAATGCCTGGCTTTCCTTAACAAGGCGATTGATAAAACTCTTGTTTCTCCTTTCAGCATCAAGAAATGTTAAAAACAGATTTGTGACGAGAGTGAAGAAATTCAAAACCTAAGGAATATTTTCTTGTATATCATGCCATAGAAAATACAGCCAATCAAATTATAGGAAATAAAGCCGTTGTACATTTGACAATATTACAACCAACCTTCCCATCTTGCGCCGCGCCTATGTCGCATTGATTGTGCTGTCCCCTGTTTTTCCTATGGCATGGTATAAAATAGTTATGCAATACTCTCTCGTAATATACCATGAAATATCCCTCTTGCCACCTGTATTTTCTTGGTATACACACTTGCCTAAATTCCCATGTGTATACCAGTAAAATGTATACTACTCGAAAGCGTTACACATATGTTTCTTATTAGATGTCTTGGTGTGTAGTATCGCTGTATATTTTTTCGGGTTGTGCCGTATTTTGACGAACCCTGCTAGGGCAAGTCAAAATACAAACAACGAGTAAAAATACAATGCGATACTACACACAAAAACATCTTATAAGAGATTTGTTATNATTGCTTAATTAAGTTCTCTAATATGAGGCAATGCACGTGCGTCGATGTGCACAATGCGTGTGCGTACATCCAGGCCTTGTCCACACTACGCCGGAGGAATTTGAAAACACAACAATTACAGGTCATTAAGAATTTGTGTTTGAGGAAAACTCGATCACGGAATTCACATGATTATCGTGACGCCACCGTTTTCAAAAAGCTCCGTTTCCAAAATGTTTTCCATCCACCAGAGAACGAAAAACCGGCGTTTTCAAATTCCTCCGGGACTGAAGAGCGTTTTCGAAAAGCTCCGTTTTCGTGACGGATTAGTGCGGACGGTAGGCCAAACCTTAGAAATAAACCTCGGTTTTCAAATTCCTCCGGCGTAATGCGGACGGAACCTCAGAGAACTAGAGAAACTCGTCTCGTCGTTAAACCTACGGTTTTACTGAGGAAATAGATCTGAGCTCCACATTCTTAACCATTGCGTTTAAGCTGAATTGCCATTGTTTTCTTTATAGAGATCGAAATGATCGCTCTCCCCTTCATTTGGCTGCGACTAAAGGATCCACGAGATGCTGCGAGGCAATTCTGCAGAAATTCAAGGACTGTGTTAACATGCTGGACAGAAACAAGGTAACAAATTCACTTGATTAAATGGTTCCCGACGAATTTACTACTGGGGGGAGTTGACCCTCCGATGGGGTAAGGGAGGGGCGGACGAAGAAATACTCCCAGTCGCTTCATGCTACGGAACTGATGGGCCACTGGGCTCAAATGCACGTTCCTTTTTGTGGCTGCGCAGTAAAGTTTATAAGAGTTTACGAGGTTAAATCATATTGCGTTACACTTTNTTGATAAATATCTCTTATTAACCGAGATCGAGGTCCGTACTGTAACTACGTTACGGACTGAGTTTTTTCTTCTTCGATTTATGGCCTTAGTGCGAAGCGCGCGGGCCATCAATCGAAGGAGAAGAAAACGAGACCGAGAAGACGAGGTCATTAAGATATTTATTATATCTCTATTGTGTGTCTGACAGGTTCTGAAACGATTTCTGCTTCAAATTTCTGAAGCACATCGAAAGCAAAATGAGTTAACTTAAAATCGTTGTTAAGTCGTTAGCACGTTCAAATACACAATTTCAAATAATAGGAAGAAAGTTCTAAACTTTTACTTTTCCTTGCTATAAAAGTTAAGAACACTTGGCCATGAATCACGAAACATTTTGGAAACAAAAACAACTTTAAATTGTGGCGGGCCGTACAGTAGAGTACTGCCCGCTAAATTGACCAATCACAGCGCGCGTACCAACTGAGAGATATAATAAAGTACCATAATGCAATGCACAAGAGAGGATGAAGAGTAAGAGAGTGGATCTCCTTAAGTGTCCTAAGATTATCCCTCTCAAGTTATTTTTAGATATGGTACCCAGGTCTTCCGCGGATAGAGTTGGCACGTGCGTTACGTGGATGATTTCTTGGAGGTTGGAAATGCGTCTAGGGCCGCTTTGACTGTCTGCATGGTTAAGGCCCCGCCCACAGTACTCCGGAGGAATTTGGAAACGCAGCTTTATTTCTACGGTTAGGTCCACACTAATCCGTCACGAAAACGGAGCTTCTTCAAACCGGAGAAATATAAAAACGTCGGGTTTTCGTTTTCGTGTGGATGGAAAAATTTTGAAAACGAAGCTTTTCGAAAACGATTGGGTTACGATAAGCACGACATTCCCCCGCCCGAGATTTCCTCGAACACAAATCCGAAATGACCGATGATTGTTGCGTTTTTAAATTCCTCGGGCCTAGTTTGGACGGAAAACATTTGATGCGTTTTGAGAGTAAAACCACCGTTTACAAATTCCTGCGGCGTAGTGTGGACGGAAAACATTTGGTGCGTTTTGAGAGTAAAACCTCCGTTTACAAATTCCTGCGGCGTAGTGTGGACGGAAAACATTTGGTGCGTTTTCAGAGTAAAACCACCGTTTACAAATTCCTGCCGCGTAGAGTGGACGGGGCTAAAAGTCGCGTCACAGAATTGTCTATTTCTACATCCTCCTGAGATTTCTGAATCCAGGAGTAATTTTGTTCTCTTTTGCAGCGGTTCTTGGATCAGCTTGTAACCGAAACTGGAGATCCGCAGAGTGAGAACTACAAGGTAAATCCGACGGTTTATGTGCTCCATGGTTGAAACGTGCTTTATCATATGGCTTGCTCCGTGAGCGGGCAAGATGAATCAAATCCTGTGTTGTGATCGGCTACCCGAACGGGCAACATGGTACTATAGCCACGACTATAAAGACTTAGACGAGACGAGCGCAACTAGTTTGTGACACACCGGACAGCTTACGTGACGAAAACAGATGCCTTGAACGTATTTTTCACAAAAACAACTACAACGCTGACTTTATTAGACGAAACATTTACTGACCTACTGAAGTTGACGCTACGAGCAGGAACCCTACACCTGTTACTACAGTGACTATACCTTACAATAAGGGCACTTCTGAGACCATCTCACGGATCCTACAGCCCTACAACATTCGTGTAGCCCACAAACCTACAACTACGTTACGACACTTACTNGTTTACAAGATCAAATGCTCCGACTGCCAGGCTTCCTACATTGGTGAGACTGGCAGAAACCTTAACACGAGACTGACTGAACACAAACGAGCCACGAAATTGGTGATGCCAACAATCACATTGCTGTACATCATCAACTGACAAACCACAACATTGATAGGGACTCTGCTCAGTGCTTAATCTACAGTACAAACTATTTTCAACTGCTGACTCTGGAAAGCTGGTACACTAACCTAGAATAAACGCCTCTTAACAGATGTTAACAACTACCGGCGCCTTACAAACGACTTATCCACAAAAGAAACGAAACCGACAAACGGACTTCTAACAGACCGACTTAACAATACACGGACCAAAAACCGACCTATTNTCCGCTCAGGTTGTCGAAACGTCAGTCACCAACAACAGTTCTTTTCAGAAGTACACTCACCCGGACGATCACACTATACGAACTAATGGTACCATCTTGCCCGCTCGAAACTAACCGATGTGTCCCGTAAGAAAACTTTCCCCGAAAGCCTTATGATAAATCCTTTATTGACCAAGCTTGTTCGGTCCAGAAGGTCGGATGTTGGCCTCGTTCTTTTTTTTTGCGAGTTTTTTTGGACCTCGGCTCCGTGAACACGCAAAGAAAAAAGAACTTGGCCAATGTCCAGCCATGTGGACCTCACGCTTGGTCAATAACCCATATTTATTAACTGATGCTTCTTCCAGTATAAAAAGGAAGAGCAAGACTCAGAAACTTAGACCAAAATTTGAACTAGATAAGTAAACTAAGTATAATTATGCATTGTTTTGCGAAGTTGAAAACAGAATCTGACATCCTCAGATAATTAGTTGAAATATTCCTTTCCATCAAACCCTTGACTTGGATTTTTTCAAAAGGTCCTGGAGCTATCAAAGTATTAAAAGAAATAACTCCATAATGTTTACTCTTATTGTTTTCTTAGGTCACCTATGATCTTGGCCTGATTCAAGGGGAATACATAGAACCAGAGACAAGAACACGAAAAAGAACCACGGATACTGGAGAAAAGGTAAAAACGTTGAAATAGTAATATGACGTTGGAATGCTTTTGTATAATAATATGAAATTTATGGATTTTTTGCGACTTCTGGGACATTTTTTTATTTTACTTGGGTTAGTTCATTACAACTGTATATACCAGTCGTTGAAAGTTGCAAGTGAGACTGAATACAGTCACGATAAATTAATATATAATTTTGTAGGACACACCCAAGGATGACGTCAAAGTGATAAGCACCGGGAAGAGAAATGTCAAAAAAGACGATCCACCGAAGGTTAACTCACTGGCGTTAATAGAGGTAAGAGAGTCGGTAAGAGGTCTTTAAACTGCAGACCGTTGGAAAAAAGGCTTGCGGCTCTCTGGTTAGCTGTGTGACCACCCACTCTCCTGTGGTTACACACACTATTCTGTGGGTCCTGGACACAAGCTACACTCGCGCGTTTTTTGCAAGTTTAGATTTATTGTAACCTGGGTGCAGAGGTCTTCTTACTATTTCCTTTCACGTGAAAAAAGTCAGCAAGCTAAAGTTATCGCAGATTTGACTCCTTCTCTCCAGTCAAGACAACATTTACGCTAATTCCTTTAAGAGAGTTTCAGAACGAAGGAGGAAGAGCTAGGTATGAAACATTTATAGATAGCTCAAGGATAGATAAGATAACTTTTTGATTAGAGCGAGCCAAACATTATAGGATACATAGGCTAGTTTGTGTTGGAACCTCTTAGGACCAAATCTAGTAATAATAGTAATATTAATAAATCGTTCTCCTCATTGCCAGATTGTCAGTCGGGAGAACAAATAGTTCGGCTAATAGACTTTTAAGTCTCATTGTAGCAAGGCTAATATAAACATTAAAATGTTTGTATTAACCTTACTATAATGATATAACGATTGTTATTGTTTGTTTGTTTTTTTTTATAAAATACTTAAGGTAGTATGCATCCTCTCATTGGTTGATAGGTGTGTTAGGGGTTAGGAGAATAGCTGTTATCGCAGTTATCAGCGGTTTGACACACAGACGAGGCGATAGGGTCAATTCTGCATCGTATTGACCCTCTCGCCTTGTTTCTATGCCCTTTTTAACAAAAGAATATTTGACCGCAGACTCAACTGCAATAAAAGCCATTATCAAAAAGTATGCAAACCTTTGACTGCGTCTCGTGTATAATTCTCCCAATCCCGCTCTTGTTTAGATGAAGCTATGCAAACACGGAAAAAATGCTCTATTGCTTAAATCACTCATGATCTGTTACTTGATTTTTTCCCTTTTAATTTCAGACCATGGCTATTTATCGACGGGAAAGATGCCTGACACACCCCATTAGCTTTCATTTGTTGAACACTAAATGGTAAGATTGAACGTATTGAAATAGTGTTCGTCTTCTGCTAACTAGCTTGATGACGAGAAAGCCTGTGTTTTCATTGATTTCTCCAGCCGACGACCTCTCCACTACCAGCACCACCATCAACAATATAACAGCGAAAACAACAACAACAACAACAACAAAAACAACAACAATAATAATAACAACAACAACAGCAAAATCGAAAACATAAAAAAACAGCAACAACACCACCATCACCATTAGCAGCAACAGGTAAAACGACAGCAGCAACAGTAGCAGTAACAAAAACAGCAACGAACAATAACAACAACAACAGCAACAGATACAACACCAATGATAACACCAGCAATTGCAATAACAACAGCAATAGCAAAAACAACAATCACACAAAGCAACAACAGTATTAGCAACAACAACAGCAACAAAATAAAAACAATAACAAATATAACACAAATACAAAAACAACACTACTGTTTATGACCACCTCCAACACCAAAAACATATGTGAATTATTGTATAATTTTCTTATTGTGTAGAGTATACACTAAAGATCTGTACCAGCGCTTTGTCTCTGGTTAAATACTGGTATAAGTTAAAGTTTAGCCTTGTGAAGTAACAGAATTTCTACAACACGATTTACGTCGCAGTTGCAACAAGTCCAGTCTGTGTATTTTCAGGAAGAAGTTCGGTTGGATAACATTTGGAATCAACCTGTTAGCATACTTCCTGTTCATTACACCGCTGACAACATTAGCCGTTTATGCGCGTGCTAATGAGGACACGTTGTGTGGATTTAACTCGTCCAATCCAAACGAGGTAGGCGATGATTCCTTCTTCTTCAAGCTATAAACCTTCGCGGAGTAAAGAAACTGTATGAAGGGACGATTCGATTGAGGCCTTAAGCTACTGAATTTCTTTGAATTCCAAGCTTTCGCTGATGTGCGGCATCGTCAGGGAACGACGATGATTCCCTGACGTTGCCGTAGATCGGTGAAAGCTTGGAATCAAAAGAAAGACAGAAGCTCAAGGCTTCAGTCGTATCGTCCGTTTAATCACCTAACATGCTACCGAAGGGTAATTTCAAACGTTTACTGTATTAAGAAGTTGTAAAATTGTTCACAGAAGTAGGAAAATTAAATATATGTAATGTATGGAACACGTGAGACCATGCTTAACCCCGTTTCCAAACATCGAGAAGAGAGCTGGAAATACATAGTGCAACGGAGTTTATTTTGGGTAGCCTTGAAATGTAGTAGTGTTTGATACATCTTCTTAATCGAGGCTATAACTTAAAAAGTAATAAAATCGTAAAAAAAATCTATGCTAATTTCGATCCGATATCTAAACTACTGAGTTTGAGAAAATCAGTTAACCTTTGGTTTTAAAACACCAAAAGGTTGTCTTAACAGCATCTTGTAAATTTATTTTTCAGGATAAAGATGACTATTCGTGTACATTATCTAACGTGGTAAGAATAAGAAAAGATATTAGACAATTTCATTCTTGTGTTTGTTAAATCGTGGAAGATGCTATCAAATTTCTTAGGAGTGTTTGTAATGAGTTTTAATGTTGCAATGTTGTAATGAGTTTTTAATGTTGCGAAATGCCCTCCTTGTGTAACCCTAGTAATAAGTTCATTCCTATACCCTCATGATTTGTGGTTCGTAATGCTTATAGAATTAAGAAGAATTCAGAAAGGATAGAATTAGATAGGATATTGCACAATTTCTCTTTTGTGTTTCTAATGAGTTTTAATATTGTAATATGTACTCCTTGTACTTCCCTAGTAATAAGTTCATTCCTATACCCTCATGATTTGTGGTTCGTAATGCTTATAGAATTAAGAAGAATTCAGAAAGGATAGAATTAGATAGGATATTGCACAATTTCTCTTTTGTGTTTCTAATGAGTTTTAATATTGTAATATGCACTCCTTGTGCTTCCCTAGTAATAAGTGCAATCATACACCCTCAAATAAATATGTTGTTCGTAATGCTTACAGACAGAAACAGATAACAATGAACTTAATTGAGGAAACCTTTGCTGGAAATCACTCGACGAACACGTCACACCAGAAAGGAAATAACGAATGTTATTCACATGCTATGTTTTTTAAAGAAATATAGAAATGCTAATAATAAACGGTTTTAAATGAGTCGTCCAAAGTTGTATTTTTTAAACAAGCTTTTCTAGTTGTGTGGTAACTCTTGCTATGGTTACCAACTGGCACAATCGGTATGAATTTATCATATCCTTAAATTGGAGAGATAATTTCGTAGACCGTAGCATGGGTTACTTATTGACTGTTCAATTTCTAGTTATGTAACTGGAATAATCTTCTTATTTCTTGATTGCCCTTGCCCTTCTTCTTTCATAGCTTGTTCAGGTGTTTAACTATTTCGTGTTGATCACGGCTGCAGCTCATCTTTTGAAGGAAGTTATTTCTCTGTTTCACCAGGTGAGTTATCAGCTAAGTTATAAAACCCTTATAATTACCCTGACAAAACAGCAAGTTAAATATCTGTTATAATATCAGTTATGTTCAGTGCTGTGTTATGGTTACTTAAATGGAAGAATTGGTCGCAATTTCTATAATCACGAAGTTTTAATCCACTGAATTCAATATTGAGAATGTGAGAGAATTTTGAAATTGATGAGTTAACACAAAAATGTTTAATCTGTGTTCGCGGTGGTCTGTACTCGGGGTCCGGATGGGAAATTGACTGCTGGAGAGCGCGCGCACGATTAGCCGATCAGATTCGAGGATTTGGGATTCCAGCCAGCTGAGAAACTGGAGAATAAAAAGTCACATTACCTAATTCTTCAAAAAATACATTTTTAAAAACTTACTGATGTTCTGAGAAATATGAAAATAAAAAGTGCTAATTGAAAATAGGGAATCATGGTGGTTGTATTCATCAAAACAAATATCGAATCCAACATGATAAATACAACTACCGTTATTTCCTGCAGGCGCGTCTTATAGGACTGGGCCATTAGCAGTACATTGACAACATAATTTAAACTTTGTTGATTATTAACGCTTAAACTGGATATCAAAATGAAAAAATTACTTGACAATAATAAGAGGTAGAAAGTACCCAGAGTAAATGTCATCATCCATCGTTTGGACGCCAACTAGCGCACAGGGCATCAACAAGACTCCTTCATCTGTGTCGGTCCTTTGCAAGCCGTGTGGCTTGCTTCCAGTCAAGGTTTAGGGCCTGAAGTGTTGCCTCTGCGGTCCTCCTCCAAGTGGTTTCATAGTTGATGAGCTCGACTCCGCATCGAGCGGTCCGGGTTCGAGCCCTGTCCGGGGACACTGTGTTGTGTTCTTGGGCAAGACTCTTAACTGTCACAGTGCCTCTCTCCACCCAGGTGTATAAATGAGTACCGGCGAATTTAATGCTGGGGGTAACCCAGCGGCGGATTAGCATCCCATCCAGGAGGGAGTAGAAATACTCCTAGTCGCTTCATGCTACAGAAACCGGGATAAGCTCCGGCCTGATCGGCCATTTGGCTCCTATCTAGATTTTACCTTTAGATCTTCCTTTTATCCTCTAGTGTTAAAGTAATAAATGTTTATTTGATCTTTCATAGCGACTTTCGTACTTGGAGGATGCGAGTAACTTCCTCGAATGGATTTGTTACATAGCGTCATTAATTTATGTATTACCTCCGTGTGATTGCAAAGCTGGGTATAAGAATGAAGTAGGCGCTGTTGCTTTGTTCTTTGGCTGGATGAATCTTATCTTGTACTTTAGAAGGCAAGTTTTATAATTTATTTTTTTGTGGGTGTTCAAAATTGCGTTTTTTTTCTTTTTTAATAGTTACTCCTGCTAACTTCTCTTGCCAAAGCAAACAATCAATTTTCTTTAATACTGTGCGGACCTGTCCTCTGGTTCTTTCTTTTTTAAAATGAAACGTATTTATTTTTGTGTTAATTTTTTATTTATGTCAGTTTTAAAGAGTTACTGTCCATTTAATTTAAAGCAGCAATAATCCGTGTCTTAATACGTGTTGCCATCTCAAGAGAAGAAACTTGATTTTTTGACATCCTTTGATAAAAATTAAATTAAATTTGACGAATCGTAATCCATTTCTGCCCTTGTAAGCCCGTACTTTCCCCCAAAATATTGTGTTTGTTCTGTTTTGTTCCGTACATGGTTAATCCAATCTATATGTATAGTGATGTATATTTTTAAACAATTTTCACGTGACGTCACGGTAGCCATATCGGTGTCTCAAAACAATGAAACAGCGGCCATGTTGGGGTCCCAAACCACTCCTGTGTGAATTGAATTATTTTCTTATGTGAACCTTTCTTTTGTTTCAATTAATTTACATGTGTGCTGGCCACGTGAGTAGAAACGCTCCATATGGAATGTAGGAGCGAGAACTTTCGATAGTGAGCCGTGCAAAGAATACACCACGCCCCATAACATTGTAAGGTCCTGAGAGCAAGGCAAAGTAAACGATTTGCACTTTGTTTCGTTTCCAGGTTGTCATCTTACGGTCAATACGTCATCATGTTATCCACAATGTTTGTTACACTCGTAAAGGTTTGTTGGATCTATCATTATGTAAAGGACTATTTGCAAAGCTACACCAAAGACAGTGACTAAATTTAACTAAAAATTTTCCGTATTCGTGTTAACAACTATTTAACCTGAAGCAAAGATTATGAACACTAATTGTTCGCATTTTTTCAACTTTGTCGTTCATAATTTCTGTTAAGAATTCCTTTTAAACTGTTTTTAAAATTGGCAAAAATTTGCAAAAAGTTGCACCTTATCATGCTTATCATAACTCGATAGTAGAAAATGGGGATCGCAGAGGTCGTTTTCGAGTCATACGCACTTAAAGCTAATGTTTCTAACAGGTGAACTGTTGTTATGGTAGCCTGCTATATAAAACTCATGACCACAACTCATTTACCAATGATTGAGCACCTGTGTGATACCATTACGGAAGGATCATATGGTAATATTGATCCATCAAAGTATAAGTCGTGCAAAGAGCCGGAATGCTATACAAGACCATATATATCGTTGCAATGACCTGATCCACTCAACATGCAGGGGCGGACCCAGGATTTTCTTAGGAGGGGGTACACCACTAAGGAATGGCGTAACTGACTGGTGAGGTAAAAAAAAAAAAATTAAAAGCGAATACGAAGAAGAAGGCTTCATCTCAGTGGGAAGGGGGTGCGCACCCCTACACCCTCCCCCCTAGGTCCGCCCCCGACATGGAATGAGAAAGAAATGAAATCCAAAAGCCCAAATAACTCACCACCATCATTATTTATCCTCAAAGTTTGTGAGATCAGCAGCAGCGTTCCCAGAAAAAAAGCGTCCTGGGCCCCTCAGCTTAAAAATGTTAGAGGTCCTGCACAATGTTTAAGCGTTGTTATAAATTGAATTTTTGAGAAAAGAAGTCCTTTCTGGCGCTATTTTTCATCCGAACGTTTTTATTTCGTAACCCTCACATGATAGAGAGAGACATGACAGAAGCTCTGAAACCGATCTAATTTGTCCGCCATGTTGAATCCTTCATATGTTTCTTCAAGTTTATTAACCAGTGTCTTCAATCACTCACTTTCCTTTTCTTGGATTAAGGTTAAGGCCTTTATGGTAAGATTGTGCTCGGGCAATTTGGTCACTTATTTTTTCTCACATATTTTGTTCTGCTATTTTATTTCATTCAAGTTAAACTTAGGTCTGTGCTTTCCAAGGACGCGACGGGACCTGTGTTTGCGCGTCTTACGAGAGTTCATATATACACGATTTGCGCCTAAACGCGAGCACTGAGTATCAATATTGTTACATGTCTTCGTCTTAGGTTTTGCTTCTTTGGATGTTGTTCATCATGGCATTTGGGACAACGTTTGTAATGTTGATGAAAGAGGTAAGTTGATCTATGTTATGACAAACTTCAGCGCTAGCTTACAGTCTGTAAACTATGTACGTGAAGAAAAAAGTAGCCCTTTTTTTATTTCAAAGATGACTCTTTTAGAAAACTATTTTGCATGCTACTGGGTAAAGCTCTATAAAGTTCAAGAGTTATTTAATCCTCGAGACCAGTCATGTGACTTGTCAACCATAAAAACCGCTGTACAAAGTGATTACCTTCTAAATGGAAAGAACCTTGAGGTGGCTTATGTTGAGACCACCTACGTTAAAGTGGCTTAAAACAGTAATATTTTCTTGAGAAGCCTGGGCTCTAACGCGCACTTCAGCACGAGGCATCACGCGATCACCTGAGGGTCGCAAGATAGCTTGCGGGATTTAAAGTTTGCAAAACTCACAACAAACATGGCGGCGCGAGGCCTACTTCATAGAACTTTGTTTCCGCTAAGTTTAGTGTTTGCAATATTGCTTATTTTTACCTTCGAAAGCATCCATCCTTCAGGCAATCTCAAAGAAAAAAAATTCTTTTAAACCGCTGTGCTGGAACGTAAAGGAAAGTTGTGATGTTGATGTTGCGATCAATCCCGCCGGCCATCAATCTAAACAACAGCGGGAAAAAACCACTCTTCAAGTTTTCTTCGTTCTTTCACTGTGCCAGTCTCACCTTCAGGCATTTATGGTACTCTTCTTCTACCGCTTATGCTGCTAACTACAAAAGCGAAAAAGAAAACACGATTCGCGGGTATTCGCGTTTATTCGCGTGGAATTGCGGGCTTTAGTGAGCAGCGGACCGCCCTCACGCGTCCGCAAAGTGCGAACTTGCAAAGTCGAGATTTTAATTACGCGTAGAACGCGCGTGAAAAATTCCTTATCCACGAAGCTAATATTTCAAAAACTGATCCGGTGACCCTACTTTTTTCATGCAAAAAATTATTCAACAGCAAAAGCGAAATGTATTTGCGAAATTGTAAAAAAAAACTGCGGAGTGCAATTTTTCAACTTGGAAATTTCCATGTTTTTAAATTTAAGCAAAATCTACGTATTCCACAGAATTTTTTATAATTTTTCCTTTTTTCTTCTTCTGTGTGTCAAAAGATTTTATAAAAAGATATGGGGTCACCGGCTTAGTTTTTAAGATAAATGCAATTGATGGTAAAAAGTGGGTCAAGTTTGTTGCTATGCAACAGAACAGTGCACCCTTAGTTTATGGCTTAAACACAATGAAAAGTAGAGTGGAAAGTTACCTTAAAAAAATAGCACATCCATTCAAAACAGTACGGTTCCAAGCCTGAAAAATCGCACCTAGTTCTAAAAGTCTAAAAACCAGTCATAAAATTCTAAACGTTTCTCTTATCAAATCTTGTAAATTTTCCCAAAAAATCTTATTCCCAACAGCCAATCCTACGGTACCTTTTACGGTAGCAAAAGCTACGACAGTTAGACAGGCAGTTAACGAAAGCTTAAACAAATGCAAGAAAACAACTTAAAAGAACAACAACAAACAAACAAACAAATACATGTTACCTGGCTTCTTGGTACCTCGTGTATGCTAAAGCAGTTATGCATTAAATTAACAAATATGTAACTGGAAATTTTTTTAGCTTTCTTGATCTCTTTTCCCACAGGCTCCGTTCGATACTCTCGGCAATTCGATGATGACGATGTTTGTGATGACTCTCGGAGAAATGAACTACCATGACAACTTCCTTCCATGGGAAAAACTTGCCTTTGCTACGCTCACTAATATTCTGTTTATCGTGCTCGTTCTTGGAATGCCTATTATTATGATGAACATGCTGGTAAGGAAAGGAACACTTCATAATTAAAGAATAATAATCAAGGGTTTCATTGACTTTTGTAATGCTCGTTTTCCATTAGAACCAAGACTCTGGTTTGAATTTCTGGAAATTTCCAGTGAGGAATGAAATAAAATTTTACAGAATTTAAGCAAGAAAATTAACGAAAGTAACGCAACATGACGTTTCGACGACTTCATGGCATCTTTGTCAAATGAATAAATTAAAAATAACGGAAAGGCATATTTATAGGATATTTATGGTATGCCAGGAAAAAAGGACGATACTCAAATTTCGAAAATTTCTTACCCGGATTTCTCGTTTCTTTTGATTTTGCTTCCAGAATTTCCAGGATTCTCGGCTAAACAGTTCGCCTTTCGGAAATTCAGCAATTGCCAAATCCTTTTGCGTAAAGTGTTCTTTTCTCTACGGCAGATTTTTTTGTAGAGTTTCACATTAGTCAAAGTTAAAACTGAGAAACAGCAACATGTAAACAGAATGAATCCCGAAAGTTGCAAAACTGAATTTGCGTTTGCAGTAATAATGCTCAAATAAGTTTCAAAGCCCACAAACAAGAGACTACAATGGCGGTTCAAAGCTTGAGCCAGATCTCCAAAACAAAACGGAACGAATTAAAGATTTCTTTTTGCAAACTTTTAGGTTGGTCTGGCTGTCGGAGACATTGACAAAATCCAAGAGAATGCGCTTATGGATCGTTATGTACTGCAGGTAACTAAAGAACTAATCCCGGGGTATAACTCCGCTATGAAAAGGTCGGAGATGCTCGTCGAAAAATTTGAATTAAACCCCTAAAGGAGACCAATCTAGGTGTGGTTCGAGCTTTATTTGACTCCTAAAAGACACCACTTAAAACGGAATAGACTTGATTACCAGCCACTGTTCAGGAACGGAGCCCGTGATAGTAGGCCAGACTCGAGGGACCAGCGAAAATCAAGCCTAAAAACAGAAATAAGAGCGTTTTTCATTATTATTTCTTCGAGTGCACCCTAAAAGATATTTTTTGACAGCTGAAAATAGTGGCGTTTCGTCATCAATACTCTGAGTGAGACCAGAATCATCGATTTATACACCTAAGCGAGACGACGAGCGCCACCAACCTTTTCGTATGAAAGTCTTTCCTCCGGGCTTACCTCACTATCCCGCAAGACGCCATCTTGAATTGAGTGACAATGATCAGAAACTAGATATAAATTGCTTATCCTAATGAGGCAAATATAGTAAACAAAGATTCCCCTGTAATGATGTGCGATGCCAGCGCTGAAGTTGACATATTGCTTATTTTGATAATCTTCTCCTTAGGTCCGGCTGCTCGTGGACATCGAAAACTCTCTTCCAGCATATGTTATGAAACGAGTACAGGTTTATTCCCACACGGAGTTTCCGAACCACCCTAAGACGCTCAAACAAAAGGTCAGTGTTTATTTTACAGGAGAGTTAGTTTTCAGAGCTGTGAACGTCTCCTTATTATATAAAGAACGTCTGGTAAATTTTCCATAATACAAAAAAAGAACTTATAGCTAGAAAGAAATAAAACGACGTGTTTTATTTCTTTGGTCGTTGGCGTTGTGCATTACGTCACTCAAAATGCTCGAGGGGTCTGGAATCTACCCGTAAGAAAAAAGATGGCGACTGGTACATTTACCCAAAATTCTTAGCGCAAGAAAACCTTAACAACGCTCATAAAAACATACAGAAAAGTTCTAAAATATTCAAAACTAGTTCACACAATGACGACTGTCGCTAGTACAGGGACAAATATTGCAAAAAATATAGCTTTCCTTGTGCCTAATTGGCTGTGTTAGGCTCTCCTGGTATTGTTGTAAAATGTACAACCGCCATCTTTTTTCCTACGAAAGATTGGCGAGTTCATCTATGCAGATTTGGATTTGGGGGATTGGAGGGCGGGGGTTGCTGGAATCTCTGTTATCAATGACGTTTTTGTTGTTTTCTCTTCAAGTTGAGGTATCTGATAAATTCTATCCCATTTCTGAGCTATCGGTAAATTTTGCGTGTCTCATGTCTCATTTCTCAGCTCACAGTCAAAACTTGGACAATTTTCAGGTTAAAAAACGCCTCATTTCTTACCTAAAAGTTATCAGCTGATGTAGCTATCAGGGATACCCCATCTAGACTCTCAGTCACTTGTGCGTCCTTTGAAAGCTAAAAGAGGGAATGGTGATGAAACTTGGCATAGTTCTTTGTTGTATGTTTTTGTTGGCTAGTTGGCTATTTTGGTGGTTGACCCTGCTCAACACCTGCCAAAATACAAAAGGTGGTTATGTATGCTCATTCAACTAACCAATAGAAGCATTACGATTATGTAATTCACGCTTGATCAATGAGCGTAAAACAAAAAGATGTGCTGGGTCAAGAACCTTCCAACATAAATCTTATGCTGTTTGTTTGCTTCTTTGATGTTTACCGTGCTTCTTAACCATTCCCTCTACTATGTCGATTGTAAACAGCTTGCTGAAAGTACTTTTTAAAACTGTTTTTAGCTGATCGATAACATCGTTGGGTTTGATAAGCCCGCAGTCAGTGTTGACGAACTAAGCAATGAAATGTCACCAGAGATGTTGAATGTCCTGGACAGAATAGAGAAACAAGACTCTAAGTAAGTGACTCATCTTACCTAATAAGATTTACTAAGTCCACCGTGGAACCTCGAGGAGCTTACTCCTGTTATGTTCTCTGAAACGCACGGATCACTTCGATACCCAAAGGGATATTTAACCTGGGGGGGGGGGGNGAGGGGGTGGTGTAAATCGCTTATCTACCAGAGTTTCATATATTCGCTACCAGGCTTTTCTGAATTTGCGGCGAATTTCCTTTTGGAGCCTGAAGACTTAAAATAACATCAAATTTTAGGCTAAAACCGCCACACAGGGTACTCATCCCTTTACGGGACTTTGTTTTTGGCAGTGGGGGCGGGGGGATGGGGCGGCAAACGTCATGGATTATTGTTCTTTTCGTGGTCTCGTTTTTAGCCCATTTGAAACTTTTGGGGGTCTTAATAAGTAGCCTCATCCGTACCCCACTGCTACTGAATGCCCCCCCCCCCTGGGATTGTTTCATGCTCAATCTCCTGAGCCGCATTTTCTAGTTAGGGCTTGTAATTAGAAACCAAATAAACTGCCAAGCCGTGGACGAATGTTATAAGTTATTATAAGTACCGTATGTCTATTAGTGTTGCTATTTTACTAGTGTCACCAATTACTCTATCTAGGCTAAACACATATACACTTCAATAAAGGTTTTACTTACTTATGTACTGCTTGATTGAACGTTGGATCTCACAGGAGATCTAATCAACCAAACTCGAAAAGTAAAACGATGATAAGTCAAAGACTAATGCAAGGCGGACACAACGTAATATATATAAAAGAGATCAGCCTTCTTCAGGTGACGACGACGGTAGATATGCTACTAACAGCCTGAACCTGTCTTTGGTAGAAAAGTGCAAGTACAAACAACTTTGTTAGACAGATCTGGACAAAAAGTTGCATGAAATGCACTTCGAGACTATGAGTCAAAACAACATAGGGATAACTTTAAATAGATTGACATCTTTAGCAGAATTTAAGCAAAGGAAACGCCTCAAACTACGAAATAAATATAAAGAAATAAAATAGATAATACCTTTATTTACCGTCAGCAGTGTTTACAGCACAAAGGCTAGTGGGGCTGAGCAAACTACCGAAACAGATAATTCAAATTGAACATAACGACTAACGATACAGAATATAAAATTAAATAAACAACAATAACCAGTTGGAAAGCGATGGAGGGGGAGAGTGCACGGGAAAAAAAGGACGAATATCTTAAGTGAGCTTGCTTTTACCTTAATCAGATCTGCCTTCTAACCTCGCTGGTTGGTTCTCATGATTTCCCATAACTAACACTCAACGGGATATCACGTGACTGTTATTCCTATCTGGTACCCCAACAACCGAGCTGGCTGTTGGGACGCAAATCAATGGCAATAACGTAAATAGACTCCTAATCGTGAATCTCTTTTGCAGGATGCAGAAAATGTTTGATGTCCTCAAGGAACAAACGGCGATGATAAAGGAAATAAGTCGTAGAAAACAGGAACAAAATCAAAGGGAAAAAGATGAAGTACCCAAGGAGTCAAGCATGAGGAGTTTATTCGGATTCCCATAACTTCCTCGCCGGCGTTCGCGACAAACATATTAATATTAATAAGGGCCTTAAGCAATGACGACGACGACGACGCCAGGGACGATGAGTACAAAAAAATGAATTTACATTTTACCTTCGAATTTCCTAACTATCCGAATCTGTTCAGTATGCCAGCTGGTCTGAAAACCTGCTCAAACTAAATATGTAATGCCAGCGATCAACTCCAAAAAGAAATACAAGAAATTTGCTGTCGTGGCCTAAGTTCTCCAAAGTACACAGAACTTGGTCATTTCACATTGGTGTTTTGCAGAGGACGGCTACGAAATGTGCAAAGATTTATAACGCACGTGCAGAGCCGTTGCTCTGCTCATTAAACCTTTGTTTGGCGACGTTTTCGTTGCTGTTGCCGTCGTGGTTTGATTAAGCTTTCTATTTTAAGCAGCACTACGCGAAAGGGAAAATATCCTAAAGTACGGTAATTTAGCTTCGAATATGCAATGGCTATGCCATAGAATCTTAGAATATTCAATACGTGAGGTACACCTGGCGTATTTAGAGATGTACACTAGATGTGCATCTCATGGTTGTACAACTTAAAGACGCTCAGTCACGGTATTTTGGCAACGTACAAAAAATTATCTTTAACTCGAAGGAAACCTGAAAATAATACTTTACTAAGATAGAAAAACCCCACAGAGATGCTTATTAACCATAAAGGAACAAGGATGGTTAAGGATGGAGAAGATTGACGTGGAATACAAACGACGAACTTGAAAAATAAAGGCTAAAATGATGCGCAAACCGTGACGTAGCTCTTTTACGTTCGGTAAAAAAAAGCTGGATTCAAGTAGGATATTCTGTGCGCATTTTGAGTCAGGCGTCTTGAATATCTCAGAATATCAGGGGTGCGCGGTGTGCATCAGTTTGTAGTCGCGCGAATTTGGAAAGGTAGGTTTTGGCGTTTCGCGTAATGAAGTCTTCCGCGATCACCTCTCGTAAGCGACATGCGAAAGATTCCAATTTGTTTAATTTCGTGCTACCAACTTAACGTTATTTTAACTTCTAGTAGCGTTTTTAAATAGTGTGGGAGACCTAGGGGCTTGAAAAATTGGGGTCTTCGGTGTCCCCTTTTCTCCACACAATGTGTATAAGGCCCAAATTAAAGGTGCCAAAAGATGCGCCCAAAGACCAACCTTCACTCTAAAATCCCACACCTCTTTGTGTCCGCCATTGGTAAGTGACTCAGTTGCATGTATGCAGCTAAACCTCTCGAGCTCGTATAAGCAGCACTTGGTTTTTGACAAAATGGGTGTTTGCTTCGTAGACGAGTGGGCTAGACTGCTGTGTTCTGCTATTGATTAGATTCACAGGTTCTTGCAATCAAGACTTTTGACCAATCTCAGGCGCGCCATTTTTTTTTATAAAAAGGCCTCTCATAGATCATAACTTTATATAAGCATGGTAGTTGTCCCTTGAACAAACTGTTTTATAGATATAATAATGTATATTTAAGTAATAAGCTAAGTTAACATTATGTTAATAATACATTAATGTTGATATAATAACCGGGTTAAACGTAATACTGAAAAAGAAATCACAAGGTTGACAAAGAAAGACAAATTTATTTTTTTAAATCACGTGTAAATGCATTGCTGGAAAAATAGTCTACATTACAGATAGTTTGCATGATGCAAAGATGAGTCTTTTTCTAGCAAGTGAGGGCTTACTCTAAGTTTTATTGGTGGGAAAAAAGCGAAAACCATTGCTTATTCTAGGGTGCGTTTCTTTAAGAAAATCCAAGATTGGATTCTTAAATCCGAAAGAAACCGAAAACGGATTTTGCGTTTCTTCACTAAACAGATCAATCCAAGTTCACTCGGATCATGGTGCATCCACGGAACTGAAGAATCCTTGCCCAGAGTGGTTTTTTCGGTTCCTTTGACACACCATGATCCGAGAGATCTTGCATTAATCGGTTTAGAAAACAAACGCAAAACCCGTTTTGGATTTAGGAGTAAGATATTGGATTTTCCTTAGACAATCCAATTGCGTAATAACTCCGTGCACCGTAGACTCATTTACCCACTGGGTACCTATTTTTATAAACACAATCCATCCCTTAGTTGCTCGGAGAAGAAGAAGAAGAAGAAGAAGAAGAAGAAGAAGAAGAAGAAGAAGAAGAAGAAGAAGAAGAAGAAGAAGAAGAAGAAAGAACTGCCCACACCAGGATTCGAACCGCCGAACCTTCCATCTGACTTCCGATTCCCTGACTGAATCCCCCTGTAATAATGAAGTAATTGTGAGGCATTACAGCTATTAATTCAACACAGTGCATCGGAAAGGTAAAAGCTGCCGGTCTCACTAAGAGTTGAACTCATAGCCTTCGCTCTCAAGCCACTAGAGTTATCTTCTCCTCTCCGCCTCACTAACAACTATACTACTTGTGGAGAAAATATTGACTAAATCGGTTCGTGCGGAAGCGCTGGGTAGTTAAAACAGCAGGCTCAAGCACGTTCCGAGCACGAATCTCATTTATTATTGTACTTTTACCTTTCTAGTAATTTCCTACTGGTAAGACTACAGCACTTCAACCTAATGAATAAAAGTAACCATAAGCCCAAAAGTACGCATTGCGGACCTATTTTTAAACTGGCGTCCGGAAGAAAATTGACGGCGGTGAACAATAAAGACAATAGAGTGTTAATGTCTCGGAACTATCGGTCTGATAGTTGCCTCTTGGAAATTTGATGTTCTTAATTAAAACTAACATATTTGCTCTGGAATCTTCGCATCTCGGGCAAATATTTCTTTTAAAGAACATCAAATTTCCTCGGAGCAACAATCAGCCGATGGTTCCTCGACAGAAACACACTTTAAATAGCAGACTTGCACGACCACAATTAATTTCGTTTTCCCTTTCGTATTTAAATTTTGAAGTCGCTCTGGGGAATAAGAACCAATTGTCCCAATTAGCATAAGAAAAAGAAAAAGTGATATATTCTGGATGTTGTATTCAAATGAGGTCGCCATGCGAATCACCTATTGTTTTGCTAAAGACCCCTTTATTGAAATGAAGCTGCATCAGCAATGCTGCAAAAGTTGGGGCTAAAAGTTTTATCTGTCTGTTTGTGGCGGTGTTTTCCGAAACGGATATTAACTCAAAAAGGCAAGTAAACTCATATAGAGGGCGATCTAGTGCGGAGGTAACAACATCTAATCTTTGTTAGTTGCGTCACAGTGGAAGTTGTGCATAAAATGTCATGACTTGGAGAAGTTAAATGTTTAGCAATTTGGTTTGTGTCGTCTGATCTTTTTGTTAACAATTATCCTTGTTTAAACATGAACCGTTATCTGTGTAGACTGAAAATCAAAGTTTCACGCCAAATATGTAATGATACATGACAATACAAGGGGCGATTGATGGGCTTATCATTGTGTGTAGCGGTTTTTAAACAAAGAACGAAGGAAAACCGAGTGTTGAGACCGCGTGCACAAGTTTTCTTAATACTAGAATACTTCTACAAAGCATGGCAGGAAATCAACAAATTACGTCAATTCTACCTGGAACAGTAAAATGATTAGATTGTTTGCTTCAAGGAAAATGCACGTCATTAGGACATCAGATGATTCGAAGACCACCTAATATTCTACAGATTGGAGTAATCACTTAAAATTGTTACTCTTGTAATGATGCTTGGATACAATACATAAATACCAGCGTCATTCATATACAGTATTGCATAAAATCATTCACTTTTATGCTTTACTTCTAGCTATTCTGTAAAACGGCGGTCAAGTTTAATGGCCTGCGAAGCATGCAGGTTAATTACGACATTTTAAGGTGCTATTTGGCAAAAGCTCTCAATTCAATTATATCCCTTCGTAATACGAAATTCTGTTCCGCGCTAAGGAGTGATGGTTACTATTCCAGTTTTAATCAAAAAGAACCGAAATACTCAAACATGCTCAACAATTGTTTTTCATTTGATTTAAAAATAGTAACTATCAGCATGTTTTTATTGACAATGTGCGTGCAAAAATCTATTTCCTGAGGCCTGCACGCAAGGTCGTTTTAGTCCATAATTAGCACACCATTTTGAATCTTCTTTTCAGAGAGATGTATGAAACCATTGTTGAAAGTTTGACTTGACTAATGTATAATTTTGTACGAGTAGTTCCAGCATGATGCCTGTCTCATTCTCACAGCCTTTTGCTTATAAAATAAGCATTCAACCATTTGTGATGAACGGTATCCTTTTCAAAGGTCTTTATTGCGGCGCCCTTGAGCCTGAATGAATAATGAATTGAACATTCCACAAATGCAAATAACGTGTTAATATACTATTCCTACAATTTGAAGTCGGACACTTACTGAATTTCTGAGGCAGCGTCCACAGTACGCAGGAGAAATTTGAAAACGCAGCTTTATTTCTACGCTTTGGCCTACCGACCACATTAATGCGTCACAAAAACGGAGCTTTTCGAAAACGCTCTTCAAACCGAAGGAATTTGAAAACGCCGGTTTTTCGTTTTCGCGTGGACGGAAAACATTCTGAAAACGGAGCTTTTTGAAATCAACGTAGTTACGATTATCATTTGAGTTCCCCGAGCGAGTTTTTCTCGAACGCAAATGTAAAATAGCCGTTGATTGTTGCGTTTTTAAATTCCACCGACTTAGTGTGGAAGGGACCTTATCTTTACAGACGAATGGAATCTTGGCACAGATCCCTGACCATTGTTCAGTTAAGTTTAAAATGCCCAAACAATGTATGTTGACACAGATAAAACATCGATATCCAAAAATGTTTGCGTTGTTTGATTTCCATGTCGACAGAAAAGAAAAACAATAATTTCATTCAGCAGAGGAGAATATATTCAATATGACGTACAATTGTAGAGGTTTAAAAAATCTCCGCGCATACATAGACAACGTGGAAAGAGACTGATGATCGAGATTTTCCGAGCCCTCCTCTCATCTTCTAGCCTTTTCCTTGCCATGACAACAAAAATAGCTCAAAAATAACAAAAGCTATATACATAACGAGCAGTTGACTTTTTTGAGCTTAACCCGAATTCTGGGCATTAGTTTACCTGACTGCACTGATGGAATTCACTGATATTGCCTATGTGGTCTATAATTGAATAAAATGACCACAGGGGATGGTGCCGGGGGGGGAGTACTCCCACTATAAGCTATATGGGTATGTGCAGTTGTGAAGGGTATGGTTTTCAGGCAGTTTAGTATGGGATAGGGCATAGAAATCAGACTGTTTGATCTAGCATAGGATATAAGTTACCAGCAAAGTGTTAAGTGGATAAATAATTTAGTCTAAAATGGGGTTCTATACCAGGGGATCCCAGGCTGCAAAAGATATTGAAACTTGGAAGTGACTTTGTGAGATATTGGTTTAGTTGGCGTCTGTTAGACTACGATAGTGATAAAATTTCTGCATGGAAAATTTGGAATTGGGTAGGGATTTCTGGTGCCTAGCCTAGAATAGGGTTGCAAAATCAAGCTGATTATGGCCTTGTATAGAATAACGGTTTCAGTGTCCCAGCGCACACCCCTACCCAAAGATTTACAGAGTTCTTCCCCCGGAGTACGTTTAGGAACTTGAGTTTGTCAATGTCGGAGTAGCCTAACTCTGTTTTAGCGGACACTTCACAGGATTTCAGCTCGAACTTTCAATTTTATGTATTTTGAGCCAAAAATCAATCATCGCTTTCCCATTTGCGAGCAAAGCGAATAGAATCGGAGCAGAAGCGAGGTTTTGGAATTTCCAATGCAGTATTCCGAGTGCCCGGTAAGTAACGATCTTGTGAGCATCACTCTTGCACTCATGAATACTGTTTGCAACATCGATGCACTTAGCAGATATTGCTGAGAAACGCTCCATCCGCACGGTGTAGAAAAGCGAAGTCCATAACCTCGAGTGATGCAGCGGTCAGATTACGCATTTGAAAATTCATGCTTAGCTTATGGCCGCATTTTCAGGATTTATTTTACACACACGGACAAAAAACGTCACAGTTGGAGCAAGATAAACAGCTATTAACATTCAAATTAGATCTGAATTCTGATCTCAATTTAACTTGTCTCTCTGAGAGACGTGATTACCAGTATCACATGTTAGACCGAGTCATGCAAATAAGCAAAAGATTTAAGAGAAAGAGAATCTCTTTTCCAATAAGTGTACGGAGAACCGTCTTGAAAAGGACTGTTGTTGGCGAATGATGTTTTGACAAAGTAAGAATAATTCTTGTGTTTCTAGCACCATGCATAAGATGACCTCACTACTCTGATCTGGACCACCGTAAACAAAAGCTAGACGTTCCCCTTACACTCCTTGCTATAATCTAGTTTCCTCTTCACACGGTTTGAGATAGAGCTGAGGGCTTTTGGAAACAACACAACGCTGATAAAGTATTGAAAAAATGAGGCAGTTTTCCACTCTCCCTCTACTGTCATCCCTGGCTACAAGATAAATTTATAACAAAATGACAAGAAAAATAAGACGAAACAGAAAAAGAATGCATAACTAAGTAAGACCTACTTTTAAAAATTTCAAATGAACACATTTAACCGTTGGCTACCAGACTTTCCAAGTTTCCTTCTTTTTCATCGAGAAAAACCAAAACTTTTCATATCGTTCGTGCTATCAAGGGCTTTTGGAAATTAGACAACTAATTTAAACTTCAACTTTATTACTTCCATCACTTTTATATTTAATATATCTTCAATATTCGTACAAACAGGCTTTAAAATCAAACGTGATGAGGAGTCCATAAAAAAGCAGAAATGCTTGAGGTAATAGACCTCCTTTAACGGTTATTACTTAACTAAAGGTTAAATACTTGCCTTAAAATCAATCAAAGATAACAATAATGATAGATACATAATTGTAGACGCAAAAAAGAATGAAAAAAAATGCTAATTGGAGAGTTATTTGCTACTACTGTTATTACCCTGCTTCGATTGAATTTTTTGCTTTACTCGATAAAAGAAAATTCTCTGTTGTTTTTCAGAACTCCTGTTTGAATGCTGAAAACACACAAAGAACTGAACTAAGTATTCCAGATGGCGAGCCCGAAGAAGCAAGTTCAGTTTCAGGAGGCCCCGGGGGACGAACACCCGTTAGTTGTGTTTAACAAGGGCGCTGTCGATCGAACAAGACATCGGAAGTTATCACGTGCTGCTAGTACAATGTCAATGGGATCGATTACATTACGACCTGAGGACGAAGAGGAGGGTCAGGATCGAGACGAGTCTGTTGTAAGTTAAATGAGGAAATCGTAAATAGAGATCATTCCTGCGCAAGATTAAAACAATATTTCCCACCTACCTACTCGGGGGGTGAGGGGGTGGGGACTCCCAGAAAAATTGGATTAGGGTGTGCGGCCCTCTTCCCAAAATCTTTACCCTTCTTAAGACCAAAACGTGCGATTTTCCCTACCAAATTTATGACCTGACCAAAATTCGATACCCTATTTAACACCTGACTCTTAGATCAATACACTCTTCTAGGTCTGCTTTACAATTAGTTCCTTTGTTCAGGCCAATGCTAAAGGCAATGTTTATATGCTTTCATCAGTTAGGATAGNCTACCTACTCGGGGGGTGAGGGGGTGGGGACTCCCAGAAAAATTGGATTAGGGTGTGCGGCCCGCATCCCAAAGTCTTTACCCTTCTTAAGACCAAAACGTGCGATTTTCCCTACCAAATCTATGACCTGACCAAAATTCGATACCCTATTTAACACCTGACCCTTAGATCAATACACTCTTCTAGGCCTGCTTTATGATTAGTTCCTTTGTTCAGGCCAATGCTAAAGGCAATGTTTATATGCTTTCATCAGCTAGGATAGCTTTTTTAAAAAAGCATACCTTCTTCAAGACTAGAGTGCAAAAACCATTCCCTATTTGAGACCAAAATGGCCAAAATCGATATCCTATTTCTGACTAAAACGGCTAAAAAATAACATAACCTTTGGGGCCGAACATGCACATATAGCCCATATCGGGGAGCACACCTTCTCATACGGGCTTGATCTTACACGGCTAGTAAAGTCAGTGGTTATACCAAGTTTACTCAAGGTAGACCCATCTACTTTTGGGGATAGATGACAAGACTAAGACCGCCAACCTCATGCGATAAATTAAATGAGCAAAACCTATCGACTAAGACTTCTTGTGTGCATGAAACTTATGTCGACGTAAAATAGCAGAGGTTTGAATTTTACTTATTTATTTTTTTTTGTACTATAGAAAAGCTCTAAATCAGACAAACTACATCAGCTCATTCTTTCCGGAAACCAAGAAGAAGTCGACAAATTTATTACTAGAGGAAATGGTGAGCGTCTGGTATAAAAAGGGTAAAGTATGCATACGGGTCAAGTGACCCATCGGGTCGGCGCTTATCTCCGGTTTCAGCAGCACGAAGGGACTAGGAGTATTTCTATTCCACTTTGGATGGGATGCTAGTCCATCGCAGGGTTATCCCCAGCATTAAATTTGCGGGTACCCATTTATACACCTGGGTGGAGAGAGGCATTGTGAGAGTAAAGTGTCTTGCCCAAGAACACAACACCCGGTCAGGGCTCGAACCGGTACTCCTCGATCTGGGTGCGAGAGCACTAACCACGAGGCCACCGCGCCTCCAAGCGTCGGGTATGGTAGACATTTATAGAGCGTGCTTATAAGCTTATTTATCCGCGTCCGTTAATAAGCCGCCATCTTCAACCTTATTATTTTTAAACTTAAGAAGTAGTTTTGCCCCTTTCTCGGTTCCATTCTTAGCCATCCTTATTTAAGCAGCTTTGCCCCTCATTTTCACTTTGTTTCCTAACATGTTTTTCTCTTAACTAACTTAGTCAGTTTTCCAAGGTTTTCTTATTATGCGTAGATAATTCTGATGTTGCAAAATGATAAAATGTCTTGATATCTGACTTGGTACTTACTCGTGGCGCTTTATTTTTCACATGCGTTCTTTATAGATATCAACCGCCAAGACAACTCTGGTAAGACACCTCTTCACACAGCCATCCTCTCCAGTCAGTACAGTATCGTAAACAAATTGTTGGAAAGCGGTGCTGACGTCACCATTACTGATGATGCAGGCGACTCCGTTATACACACAGCCATCCGAGTTGGAAGTGAAAGACTGGTACAGGTGGGTAGACCTTCTAACAGCACTTTACACCTTCTGCTACAATCTTGGAGTAGGATAGTTCATTTAAATCGCCGGTTTAGTGCAGATAACACTTTTGTGCCCTGGGGAATAGTTAAGTCTGCATACAAGCTAAGTGACCATGCGGCCATTGCGCCCCTGGGAAATGCCACAAATAAATAATTTCACACGTTGACTGCCTCACCATTTGAATACCGTTTCTGACTGTTACCAATACAATGCAGAAGTTATGGTTGAAGAAAACATTGAGAATGGGAAGGGTCTGGGAGAAAGGGAGGGCTGCTTATCCCTTTTAATTTAGCTTTAAATGTGCTGCAAAAGAAACGTTTCCCAAAAGCTGGACCACTATATTAGATATACTGTCTAATTACATTTGTGGCATTCAAGATTGATTTTAATTTAGCCCAAACATAGGAGTAGGAGTGAAATGGACAAAAACCAGGATTTCAGGCCTGCCAATCACATGTCGATACCGTTCAGGGAATAATAAGATAATAAAAGTCATATTCGCTTTATTTGCCTTCTCCACTCAGACTCTTATCCAGCAAGGTAGGTGCGACATCAATGCCTTGGGACGTAACTCGGCCACTCCTCTGCATCTTGCTGCCGAGATGGACAATGCTGACATCTGCAAGATTTTGGTAAGTCAGCCGGCAATCAAATAGGAATTGTATGTACTGCTCGCGGTTAGTGCGAAACGCGGTCTGTGGACTGCAGACTGTAGACTAGTGTTAACTAATGCTGCCCTTTGAGGCCGAGACCCTTGTTTGGAAATCCAAGACCCCCAAAAAACTTCCTAATAAAGGCCTCACTGATTTCGAGATGGGATTACAAATTTCCGAGAGGTGCGAGCTTCTAAGTACTATTCGACAGTGGCTAAATCCCAACGAGGCAATTCCCCCCGCCCCCCCCCCCTCCTCCCCAATTTCTTGCCTTGACTGCGTTATAAGCATCTTTAGTTAAATAAATACATTCAAGCAATGAACGAAAAAGGCGGTACATTAATTATATTGTGTAAATCAAGGCCGACACTGTCTATTCTGGGCACGATGGACATTACCTCATGGTTTCAATCCTGATCATATGAAACATGTTTAACGCAGGTTTCCGCTGAGAGTGGAGAGGAAGCCAGTGTCCAAGGGCTTGCATTGGCATTTTAATGCTGACAACTGCAAGTTAGGGCATAAATTATAAAACCGTCCAAACATGCATCAAATTAATATGTTTACACTGAATTTGTGTCGGTGCTAGTTTGGACGTTGTAGTATTTAGCTACAATTGTTTTGTTTGGTAACTGCTCATACAGGTAGAGAACGGTGCCACTTTATCACCAATGGATATCGAACAAATGACACCTGTGGGTCGAGCAATGGAAAGAGGAGCAAAGAAGTCGGCTCAATATCTGCTACAGACTGGTAAGTTTTCCTGCAAACCCAACTTGAACGTTAATTCGCATGGATTTCTTAATAACACTGCAAAATTCCCTTGCAGTCAGTCATTAACTATTTATTATTTGATTGCTTATAATAGCGAAAGAAAAGACAGGTTCCGTGGAGGAATTTATGTACAATGTCGATATTGATGGCAGCTCTCTTCTTCACCTGGCTGTGAACAGCGGCGTGTTGGGGGTAAGCCAGGATGTTCGAATTCCTTTTCACCAAACTTGCAACGATTAACGTTGACTCAAAAAAA